GCTGGAGCGGCGCCCACAGGCGCAAGACAAACCCAGAATCTGGACCGGCAACTGGTTTTAGCACGGAGTGGGACAATCTTCATCTCCAGCAGCGCCAAACGCTCAACCGTCGCATGAAGGGACGCATTTGTCTGCCCAACGGCTAGTAGCCGCTCCGACAGAGCACGATAGTCCTCAACATGAGGCAGCCGGTGCACAACGTGCTCTAAGCTCTCTAGGTCTTCCACGCAGCTATATATATATGCGACCCAAGAATGATACTCAGCGGAGTCCCGATCGCGACGGACTCGTCTACAAGAGCTTCGAAGAGCATTGCGAGTCACCGGACGGCGATCATCGTCAGCCGCCGACTCTTCTCGACGAGAATGCTGGTGTTCACTATCACATGGAACGTTTTCTGGGTCGACGGCGTCGACAGGTTCAAACCCAATATCTTGTGAAATGGCGGGAATACCGAAGCTTCGAGAACTCGTGAATTCGAAATTCCGCTTCGGCAAAACTACCCAGACGTCATTAAAACTTATTATCGAAGGGATCACGACTTTTCGCGTCGTCTTGCGCCCCACGCTCCTCAACAAAAGCCAAGGAAGCCGAAGGGCCATGGGCTGTGCTCAAGCTATGGCCCTGAAGTGCTGCGGTCGCAGACTTACCCGTGTGAGAGACCACAGAGCTCGCGGGAGCGTGATACATTAACCCATATGTCGCTCCGAAGGAGGGTCGGCGACGCGCCTTACCTCGCCTTCTTCTTCTTCTCATAATGAGAAAGGAGTATCCGACTCGTAGTCAAATTCTCATAAAACCTCGACGAGACAATCCATCGCGCGGTGGGCGGTCGGGTTTAGACATCGCTTCTGTGTTGTTGGTCGTGTGACCCTGTCACTGACGATGCGCTGCGCGGTACTCGGCTACCGCAAGATTGGGCTGCGTTTTATCTTTAAGCAGTGGACGTGCTGTCGGAAGTTGCACCGCGTGCAGGGTTCGAAAAAGGGTTCTGTCTGCGGGCATTCTCGGAGCCAGCGAGGCTGGGTTCTCGACACAGGGCTCATTGAGCAGATAAATGGAAGAAGGTTTCAGTATACGGTCCGTAAAGAGCACATTGCCGGTATAATCGAGCGGTTCAGTGTAAGACCGAAATCAAAGGTACCGTGCATGCAGCGAGGGTCTCACCCGTTGACACAATTCACACGTTCGCACATATGTGCTCATTCTCGTATGAATATTGGGCCACGAAAACGTAGCGCTAACCAAGCAGTGTGTCTCTTTTCATTGTGCATTTTCTGTACGTGAGGACGTCAAATCAAGGCACCACTAATCACTGAGTTTCATGTGTCTCAATGCGAGAATGCTGAAAGCCTTAGTATTAAACATAGCGGTGATGTCATGCAATTGAGCTTTTTGACATAGTGACTTCTGATATCTCGAGCTTCTTGCTCCCCATAGTTTTCACGAAAGCAACTTATGTTGCGTTTGATCTCCATACTGTACCTAACGCCTCATCAATTGGCGATATTACCGAGATAAAACACAGTTGAGTTGACGCAAAAGCGTATCCGCAACCACATTTAGCCGACTCGGCTGATAACCTTAGATATGCTAGACATGAAAATATAATCAACTTGTTATTGTCTGTAAGAAATGTGGTGACCAAGTCGCTGTGCGCGACGACGCATGATCCGTCTAGATGGTAAATGAATTAAAGCCAAATAGGTTTGCCTTCAACTTGAAGATGACATGCCGCATTGCCAAAAGCCTTATCATTAACAAGGTGACCCTTTTCAGCAGCTTTATTATCAGCGCTCAAGATACAAACACGATCACGCATTCACACCCATTGAGAGTTGCATAGAGTACACCCAGTCTATAGCGAAGGCTTAAGAGACAAAGGCGATCTGGGATAGCCAATTCAGATTTAAAAATGCAATAGTCAGGGCGCGCACGAGGTATACTTTCGCAGCCTTGTAGGCCACCTCTTTTGTCGAACCATTACACTCTCAAAAGAATGTTTGAAGAGGAGTACATGGCCGATCAGGATTTGAGCGAGCTATCATAGAGGTGTACACGAAGATATTCCCGCAGCCTTGAAGGCCGCTCCTTTTGCCGCACCCTTGAAGGCCGCTCCTTTTGCCGCACCCTAGTACCAGTTGACATCCTTAAAAGGAGATTAGTGTGTAGTCGCATTTTATCTGTGCAAGTTATTGTCCAGGCTTATTTTCGCAACCTTAAAGGTCGCCTCGTTCGCCGCCCTTGACAATATGTTCGTTCGTGGTCGTGCTGACACGAAACGTCAAAGGTAATAGAGCACTTACACGCGGTGTTCGAGTAGATGCGCTTCAAAAAGATATCTGCCAATCTGGATAGATTTGTCGTCAGCGCCGACAAAACTCCTATCCGCAATGCTTTATTGGGAAGCAGGCTGCGATAATATTCCGTAAATATAAAATTACGGTTTGTCCAGTGCCTCTTTCCGAAAAGGACTGTGGAAAAGGCTTGATCTGGCCAACTACTTGCGCAGAATTCTCGCCAGTCTCCTTGAGGATGTCAACTAGCGTTAGGAGGATGCACCGCTAAGATGTGACTTGCACACTTCCGTATCCCTCTCAATAGATGTCGCTAGTGCATCAGCTAGTGCATGTAAATAATCAGACACCCATTGAGCATTTCGCTCGGAGTACTCACCGGAATGAGAGGGATATCGTTGTTTCTCTTTGACATATAATGATAGTAAATATCAACTGGATCGAAAGTTTAAACGAAGTGCAGCCCATCTTGTTGCGATGCAACACATTATCTGCGTTTGCACCGTCGCTGCAGTTAGCTTTGTATAAGCATGCACGATACACCACGTAGCGTCAGCCCTTCTAACACCGAATGTCGGCGCCGTGTGTGTGGAATTTCTCTCTCACCAGCCTTACTTCGTGCTTCGACCGCAAAAAACACGTGTATGTAGTCAAATTGGTAGACTTCATTGCACAAAAGATCGATTTATTTTTTCTAAGACGCATTTATCGATCTGATGGATGTATGTACATTTTGTCTCCCATTATACTTGTAGTATTCTTTCAACAAAGATTGAGATGAATAGAAAGGCTATGTCCCAATTCTCGTATTCATGATTCATGAATGTCCTCAATGCCAGAATAATCCATGACAGGTGACGAGTCAATTGTTTTCCGGTATTACCCATAATTTTGCTGACCCCGTCGTCTTGCAATTCCTTAGACATATCCCTGTAATTATTCAATCTTGTGAGAATTTCTGTCAGAGGGGGTGAGGGGAGAAATACAACCTCTAGGACTATATTAATCTTACCGTTCAAGAGTGCATAATCTTTCTCTCCTCTTATTTGTGGATTTTCACATCGTACGGTGGGCCAGTCACACGACAATGCTGACTCATCAGTACCGTCACATCACGACAAGGATTAGTTACGCTTCTTATTTTGAGGTTCTGGTCCTTCTATTCGCTACGTACAGACATCAGCTTCAACACTAGAAATTGCGATTATCTGCCGCTAACACTGTCCATTGACCCTGACCCAGGATTCAACGCATCACAGCCTTTTTTATCGTTTTGCAAGATATTCACTCTGGGTGCCACGACACATAACCTTTTTTACGTCCTAACCAAGATGAAGACCGTGAAATTCAATTTCTCGTTTCCGTTTGACCCTAAAGCCGCGGCATTTGGCTACTTACGCCTTCGGAGTTCTACTCGAGGCTAGTAGCAATAGCATTTTTTGTTTTGAGACAATCCTATGTCCTAGACAAAATTTCTCGCAGCTTCGCGTCCTCTCCGAAAGCAAGTTTGCTTTCCGGCACATATGAGTCAAATCGAGGCTCCACCAGAAGGGAAAAGCGTGGTAGCTAACATTTTCGACTTTCAGCCGACCCATGACTCGTGGCGTCCTAAACTAAAATCAGATCTTGACACCTTGTTAGTGTTCTACGCTCTCAAAAAGCTCAAACTTCAGAACGATTCGGCACAAACTTCAAACAACTATTGATCCATTTTAGTGCCCCTTCGGATATCGCGTGCGTATTTGGCATATCCAATGCCTCCGCGCACGGTGCCCGGTTTTTGACAAGCACGAGTTGTACGTAATTCCACGACAATACTGAATCTATCAGAGCTTTCCACGGCTTGACAAAACTCCGAAACGTTGACGCCAGCAGTCAACATCCTTGGACTACGAGCCCATTTCTCTTGAAGATAGTCACTTCATTTAGAAATAGGTTTCATTTATCACCTCGATTGACCTTTACCCACGGTAGTTACCCAAAGTATGTGGCTGACACTTCATTCCTCTCTACTGAGAGCTGAAGAGATATGCAAGATATATTACCGCAGATGAAGCATCAGTGAGCGGCTCTGCAGCAAAGATCGCTTGTCCTCTTCAGCTCAGTTTTGAAGCAGTGACTGCTGTACCCAAAGCGATCACAGGGCGACGATCATTTTAAACCCACATCTTGTACAATATTAGTCTCAGTCGCACTCATCTTATCTACTGTCAAGTCTTTTATACCCTTATTTTGCCCCTATCTTGATAAATCAACACATTTGATTCTCCGCCAGACCTTTCGAGGCTTGTTTCCCAAATACATTCTTCTGTCGAAACTGGTAATGAGGTCCTAAGAATCTCATTTTTTCGTTGAAGCATTTAACAAACGAACGGTTCTATGACTGCTGCTCATCGTGACAGGTGTCTTTCTATATTTGCGGCTCAACAGAATCGCCCACATATAGTGAAGCATGTGGTCGCGAGTCAACATATATCGTAGTAATTTTTATTACTTTCAAATCGCTTTTGTCATGGTTAAATGTCAATCGATCTTCAAAGATGACCATGAGGTCTTTTGATGAAGTGCAATATTCTCAGCCTCAGTACAAAATAAAAGCATACGTGGTTGGCCGCAATACTAAAGTGATTTATCAGGCCAATATTTATTGAATATATTGTAAAATTATAGTAACATTGCATAATTTCTGTACACTAGGTTCTACTATCGATACATATAATCTGAGATGACGTTGAGCCGTGCCTGGCGCAGGGCAGCGATACCTGCAGACGATACGCGTGGATTCTGAAGCAACACGAGTGTATCCAAATGACTTAAGGCCAATGCTGGTGCTAAACATCCCTGAATAATGCGATCCGACAAAGAATTACTGCTTAGCGACAGGACGCGTAGCTGACTGCCACTTATCAGTGCTCGGGCCAGAGCGGGGCAAGCAACGTCTGCAATATGATTTCCGCTCAAGTCAAGTTTCCATAGTGCACGATTATAGTTTAATGATTCAAATAATGCAGCAGCGCCGGCGCTGCCTATTTGACAACGCTCTAAAACCAATTGTTGTAAGCAGCCCGGATTTTGAGCTAACGAACACGCCAGGTCCACGACGGATGCAGGCAGGAGTGGTACATTGGCTAGCACGACGGACATGAGTGAAAAACTGGAATTGCGATGACTGCGTAGCAATAGGGTGGATAGTTGGGATGCGTAGTAAGCTCGAAGAGGAGAATTGCAAAGAATTAAAGATTGCACAGGGGACGGGTATGATGTCGAACTGGAACAGGCGTCTAGTGCGTTCACAACCTGTTCAATGAGATTGACAGGTGAGTTACTGATAAAGGAGCTAATGGTGGTATTGTCTCCACCACCATCGACGATCAAAGTGGTTGATAATGAAATCAATTGTCGTAACTGGGGGATCGTGAAGTCAGCACCACCGCTAAAAAAGAGAGGCAGTCAGATACGCAAAAAATATCTCACAAGCCAGTTCCAACAGCGAAAGCTCACCTGAACGAGAGCTGGCACATCCCAGTTTGACGCACACGATTTAGCAATGTAAAGAAGAATATTGAAGGTATCTCAGCGCGCTGGATTAAGATTGTCAGAAGTAGTAACGAAACCAACAGACACACAGATTAGAATCGCTTACCTCCTCAAACGTTTGTAATTTGTCAAACTTGCTTCCAGAGATAATGCCCTGCTTCTGCTTATGGCTTGCCGGTGCAGTCTTTAATGATTTGATTACCGACGAGCTACGTACACGCAATATACTCTTTTCAAGCAGAGCTGCGACCTCCCATTGACGAAAACAGCGCACCAACGGTTTCTGTAAGGCTGCGGCCAAGAACTCTGCTTGTGTTCTCATTTTGGCTAACGTGCGCCGTGCTCGGCGCTGCTCATGACGACGACGGAATATTCGCTGTACAATACAAGCTGCCTCATGCAGCTCCCGTTGCAACACTCGTGTAGCCTCTTTCCATCCATTAAGACATCGATGCATTTGTTGAACCCTATATTTTTTTACCGCCTTTGCCCCGCGTTGAGCAGCAACCAAACGTCTGTCACGATTGCTTAGATAATGTCGACGGATCAACCAGCACTGTAGTCGACACTGAATCTTAGTTGCTGCAAGGTATTGCCGAGCTTTTCTGGCATCGCGCAATGTCCGGAGTTCTCGAAACAAAGCTCGAGCAAGCATATGAAAGCTGTGTTGCAGTCTGCCAATTAACCACCGTTGCGCCGTACGCTTATGAAGTACTCGAAGAAGTCGAAATTTACATCGCCGATGTCTCCACCACCGTTGCACCTGTACTAATGCAGCATCCCGCTGCAAGATGTACTGTGACAGCGCAAGCAAACATGCCAACAACTTGATTTTCGAGGGCTGGCTTCTAAGACCATTGCCAGATGTACCAATCCCAATTACCAGCGTTTGTGCCAGACATCGTCGTTGTAATTTTTGACGAGCCTCAAATCCTTGTAAGAGCCTTTGAATGCATCTAGCAGCATTGTACCTTACTCTGTGGTATTCTAAAACATGCTGCTGCAACAATTTAAACCCTGTTTGCAAAAGCTGAGAGTCACAAGAGCGCATTATCTTCGCAAGTGCGTTGAGAGCTCGTCGACGACGTCTACGAAGTCGGTTATATCCCTTACGGGCAAGAACGCCCCGCATATGCTTTTGGATTGTCTGAGCTGCTCCTCGCTGCTCTAGGCGCCTGGCGAGAGCATTGTTCGAAAGTGCACGCCAAAAATGTACAAGCGACTTTCGCTTCCGTTTCAAAAGCAAGCGGTTCATCGTATCGATTGCGATCCGATGGCGTCGTAACTCGGCGTGATATTGTAGGACTGCTATCCTTGACCGACATTTATTCTGAATAAGCTTAACGCCCCATAGACGCTGGCTTTTAGCCTTCAGAAGGATTTGATGCCAAGCTTGAAACACGCGTGATAGAAGTGATGTCGAGCGTCGGACAAGGCATTCTTGTAAAATGCGAAAACGCTGCGAACGACGAAGAAGCAAGTGAGCACAGGATTTGCGATTGCACCACACTCGAAATTGCCGTTGAATGAGTACACAAGCATGAAGACGCGTTTGACGTTGAACGGAAGCAAAATTGCACCAAAAACGGAAACTTAGAAGCCGAACAAGTTTGAAGTACCGAACAGCAAATCCTTCAATAAGCTTTTTGCGCTTGATCTTCCGCGCACGAAGCGCTCGTACAATACCTTTGTCTCGGATGATATAAAGCAATGATTGAATCTTCATTGCTGCGGCATCTAAGTGTTTTTCAATCGTCCTGTCGTCCTGGTTACCCATTTCAGCATTTGCAAGCGCTTCTTTTTGCTGTTGCTGCACGCGCAAGAGTGCAATTTCCTGGCGCCAATTAAATTCTCTCCATGCGCATTGAATGCGTAATGCCATCGCATGGCGGCGCTGCTTCAGAACATAGGCGACCCCAAGACGCCAAGTTGCCAATATCCGAATTCGTCGTGTGAATGCCTGCAAATGGGCTGCACTCCTCTGCTCCAATGAGAATTGTGCTCGCCATGAATCACTGCATATCTCCAACAAAAACCTCTCATGACGAGCACTGTAGTATTTGTCACGTGGTAACCGAAAGAGCACTTCAGTGAGTATTCTTTCTGCCCCTAAAGTATCTCTTGTACGTAAAAGACTCGTACCTTCTAAAACCAGGCTAGGAGCAGGAAGGTTACTCGGTGCTAATTCTATCCTTTGGCAAGCTTCACGTAGCACTGAAAGAACTAAAAGAGGCGCATTGGCTGACGGTGCAAGTCGATCCGCTAAGTCTAACCAAGTCTGACCGTCCCGGTACCAAAGTATTGTGCGTTGCTCTTGATTTTTCCTCGATGTGTTAAGCAAAAAGTGCACTGTCTTCTCCGATGGTAACACGGGTGGCAGGGCAATAAGTGCTTTGTACGCTTGAGTGTAAGTCTCACGCTCCAGCGCTCCCATACTTGGTACATGTGAAAGCTCCAGTGCTGCCAGCAAACTGAGTTGATACGCTCCGAGGCGATGCGGAATTTGTGAAGAGGTTCCCTTTCCTTCAGCCAAATATTGAAAGTATTGCGCACTGTCTCGATGGCGATTTAATGCTGATGCAGTCAGCGCTGATAAAAAAATAGCTTCATTTAGGCGAGAGGATGACGGATATCCTTCAACAAGAAGTGTGCAAACGGCTAGTGCGCCCCGATACGAGCCGAACTCGATGTAAAGATTCACGAGTGGATACAACAATTCTAAACTGCCCTTGTTTTTCGGATACTCCATTGCTATAAGTAATGTCGTGTAAGCCTCCTGTAAAAGTACAATGTGTAGTGGTTTGACCACTGCATTTTGCCCACGCAATCGCTTTGATTGTATTGTCGACGAAATGACTATGATGGACGGCGTGTGCAATGCTCTAACGTATGCTTCCCAAAGCATAAATTGGGTTAGCGCTAGTTCAGCCCACAACTTGTCCGAGTCGACTTCACACTGCCAAAATATCAAATTAGTTCTAGACTGAAAGATAGCAAATCTTGCTTACTTCAATAACAGTTTCTAACGCATTAATTGCATCTTGGTACAGCCGGCGACGCCGATAATTAAGTGCTTGAGTATACGCTGATTGAGACGCTTCGCTCGAAAACACCAAATCAGTGTCATCGTTATCTGCTGTCCATTTACGTGTTTGACTCATCACGTGATGTCGCCAACACGCTATTAGTAAAACCATTTATAAACGCTCTAAATTTAGATGAACATACGAAATACATGTTGAAATTGTAAAGAGCATATTGCAATTTCCATTGAAAGATTAGCGTGGAAACATTGTATTCTCAACAGTAACAACATGCCAAGCCATCGATGAAGTTAATAACTGTTATGACGCAGAAAGTATACATAGTCTAAAGCACCTTGTAATACAAACAATATAAGCTATGCCGTTGCGTTGTAGCGAAATTTAGTGGATGAGCAGGGAGAACAAGCGGCGTTCGGACTGGTCTATCGTGAATTTCCGATTATTTTAATTATCGTCACTACTTTTATAGAATTATCTTAGCTTCTAAAAAAATGACAAACTGACGTCCACACAACTATGGAAAGCTAATTAGAATGAAGACTAACAAGATAGCACGGTATTGAAACAAAGTAGTGTCTTTCTTCGCTCAATGAAGAGAGAATTACCCATAGCACAAGATTACTGCGATAAATTGATTAGTCGATGGAAGAAGCGGACCATCGACAGCGTACGATAAACGCTTAATTAATTATGTAACCCTGGTGTGAAAGTTGACTTCACTACGAAGCAGTCGGGCAAATCAGGTTAATATCGCACAACAAATTTGGCTGATTGAGATCAAACATATAAAGTTGGAACCTTGACTTCATGTACGAGGCAGAAAGAAAGACCGAAGTAATTATCAATCAGCATTACGTAAACTGTGATACGTCAGTGAAAGAAGCACCTTTGTAGGATTTGATAGACTACTAAATGCTCGAAATAAAAGACATGACCAGTTTGTCATTGATGTAAATTGTTCCGATAGACAAAACTCGCGTAAAAAATTAATGAAAAGGTAATTATTATGCAAAAAATTCTGAAAATTACCGCCACCCTCGGTCTCAAAGCTTCAAGCTCTCTGCCGAGGCGTCGCCTTCGTTATTGCGAGCGTCTAATAGCACCATATTCGATTCAATATATATTACTATTTATTGCTTCGTATGACTACGCACGATAAGTGCAAGCTGCCACATTCATCCACGACCACTTCTGATGTGTCCTGCTCTGTAAGCAGCGTCAGTAAGGGCAACCAATTGAAGAGATATATCTCGGCCAAAGAAGTTGCGCATCACAAGGATTATTTTTCGCAGGATATGCGGCATTCTGATATATCGAGTCCTACCACCATAAGCTCGACCGCCGCTGAGACGTCAGAGTCGGCCATGAATAGTCCGCGATTTTCATCGCCAGCTTCATCACCAACGGCTGAATCAATTCTTAAAGTCGTCCTCATTGGCGACTCTGGTGTGGGAAAGTCGAACCTTGTTATGCGTTTTACCAAGAATAAGTACATGCCGCACAGCTTGCAGACCGTGGGTTTTGAATTTGCCACCAAAAATATTCGAGTTGGGGATCGCCGACTGAAGGCACAGATTTGGGACACTGCAGGGCGAGAAAGATTTCATTCACTTACTGCTGCTTATTATCGAAATGCGGTTGGCGCTATGATAGTCTACGATATCACTAATCGTAGCTCATTCGAGCATATTACCGGATGGCTAGCTCAGGTGCATGAACACTCTCACGAAAGTCTCGTGCTCGTACTTGTTGGAAATAAATGCGATCTTGCTCACTTGCCAAATAGTCGAGAAGTGTCGACGCTTGAAGCTGCGAGATTTGCAGCGAAGTACTCAATGGAATTTCTTGAGACGTCAGCTTTAGACACCACAAATGTTGTGGATGCTTTTAAGAAGCTTATTGTTCCAGTTGGTCGTTTACTATCGCCAACCAAGCCAAAGAAAATAGCACGACTTCCGCCTGGATGGCGACGTGTCTTATCAAGGACCAGACCAGGTGAACACTCATATGAGAATCAATACACAAAGGAGCGCATTTCGTTTGTGCCAAAAGAGCCGGCAAAGCCCTCTCAGCAAAGCTTTCGACCTCCTCCAAGTAAAAACAAAGATGGACTTCACAGTAATGTCACGGTAACTCGTGAAAGTCTTCGTAAGCAACATCAAAAGGCGTATCTCACACAGAATCAGACGCCGCAGTGCGGTGTCTGTACAAATGACTGCACTATCTTGTAGAATTTTTTTAGATCGTGATCATCAATAGGATATGGGCAGCCCGTCTCTTCAGAATTATTGCGCGATAGGTGCTCGCCCTGTAAAAGATAAAGACTAAAGTTTAATAGAAGTAAGAAGTTAAGACTCATGAAGCAAGCAATCATTATTCTCTTTATATGAATGACATACGCATACGCTGATATCCAACAATGCTTCTACTTGTTCGAATTCCAAGGGGTTGCTTGACAACCGTTCAACCTAAGTAGACCGCCATCTTCATGTTTAAATCATTTTGAGCGCCGAGACACGAGAATCGCAACAGCAACGGACGCTGCAACTAGGGCAAATGTGGCGAGCTTACACTCTGTTGGAGCCGTCGCCCACAGGTTGAAGCAGCCATGGCTTTTTTTCTTCATTGCGATAGTCTTGCGAATATAATTTGCAACAGCGTCACTTGAGTTTGTAGCAGCCGATAGTCGAGTAGGGAGCGATTCCAGTTGTTTTAAAATTGGGTGTTGGTGAATCTCCGTCTCAGCCACGTTAAGCGCTTTGGACACCACCGGCAAAAATTTTCCGTAATGAGCCGTTCCTACGACCACCACAGCCGAATTTGGTTTGTCAGTAAGATTCTCCCGATGATAGCGTGTGGCAGCCGCTGCACCAATTGCACTGTGAGGGTCGAATAAGTACTGGCTAATTTTTTTGTACTCAGCAATCGTAGAGCATACTTCATTCTGAAGAATCGTATACGACGCCATCTCGTCTTGAGCCTTAGCAAACAAACTTCCCGAAATCATGAGCTTACCAGTCTGCTCGAAACACTGCATCCAACCTCGCAAAATGTCATGATTTTCACCAGAAAGAGCGAAGAGGTATCGCTCAAAGTTGCTCGAGACACAAATGTCCATAGACGGCGAAATCGTATGCTGGATATCGTGACGGTGGTACTTGCCCGTAGAAAAGAAGCGGTGGAGAATATCATTTTCGTTAGTCGCTACAATCAGTTTACCAATGGGTACACCAAGCTTTTTGGCGTAGAAACCAGCAAGGATGTCACCAAAGTTACCTGTAGGAACTGAAAACGCAACCTCGCCGCTCACACCCTGCTCCCGAGCGCGAAAGTAGGCCCAGACATAATATACGATTTGTGCAAGAATACGAGCAAAGTTAATCGAGTTGACGGCTCCTAAGTTGTATTTAGCCTTGAAGTCAGCGTTGGCAAAGAGGTCCTTGACGATAGCTTGGCAATCGTCAAAAGATCCCTTGATCGCCACATTGTGAATATTATGATCCAGAACTGTTGTCATTTGACGCTGTTGAATGGCACTCACGCAGCCCTCAGGAAAGAGAATAAAAACCTCGACGTTCTCCTTGCCACGTAAGCCGTAGATGGCCGAACTGCCCGTATCACCCGAAGTTGCACCGACAACCGTGATTTTGTGCTTGGGAACATCAGCTGGCAACGTCTCGTTCTTGCGATTCAAAAAAAACTCAAATAGATTGCCCAGGAATTGCAACGCTATGTCCTTGAATGCGAACGTTGGACCGTGGAATAGCTCAAGTGCCAGCATCTGGTCATTCACTTTGACCACCGGCACCACATCTCGTGCGCGAAATGTATTTGAGTTATAACTTTTGTTTACGAGCAAGCGCAGCTCAATGCGCGAGATCTCGCTCTCATCAATAAACAGACTCATGACCTCAACCGCCAGGTCTTGGTACGACAGCATCGCCCATTTCGTAAGGGCATCAGCCGGCAGTGTCGGAAATTCATCGGCTTCGGGCACTAAGAGTCCGCGGTCTGAAGCCAGACCAGTAAGCACAGCCTGCTCAAAGCTGAGACCCCGAACGCCGCCTCGTGTGCTGCGGTATTGCACCATTGGATTGACTAAGTGTACTGTGGTGATCGATGTAAGCCACTCTTAATAATTGTGTTGTCACGACATTCGGGAAACATGCCTATCAAATGATTAGCTAAAGATTTAACACTACAGTGCTTCCCAACCTAAGGGGACTGCTTTAGATGTACATTCAAATTTTATTCAGGCAAGTGGAGTGTCTTCGACCATAGTTGATGGTACGGAAGACAAACCAATCACGTCGCCAGTTACTTCACCAGCTGCGTATTCGGTTCGTATGGCATGTGCCGGGAAAAAAGACTCAGCTTTTCCCAGACTGGTTTGCAGAGTACATCTGCATTGGGGCTGCCGTAGCTCTTTGATTAGAGGAAACTAAGCTAAGGCCACCAACCTTACGTATATTACAAGAACTAGTACGAGTGTAGCGGATCGCAATTCGCTTACTCCATAGGTTACCACAACCATATCCCAAGGTAAATAAACTCTTCCGTTTAAAATCCAAACTGTATTTCTTTGTTTTATTTGCGGCAAAGCCGCTATATCTTAATCGATAGAATTCCCTAATTAAATACTAAAACATAATTGATATACATAACTATTCACGAAGTGGCTTCTTGTTACGGTGTGATTACACCGTCTTGTGTAACCCCATTTTTGTATGGTTACACCATATTGTGTGACCCCCCCTCCATACTAGAGTACGCGTAACCCTGCTACACTCTCCCCGATCAAAATTGTGAACACCCACAATTCGCATTTAACTGTCGCCTCGTACTAATTCGCGTGTTTAAGACACATCTACGGCCCCAGGACCTTCTGCACTCATTCTTTGCTCGATGAGCCCTGTGTCTATGACTCGAAAGACACACAGACTCAAAGGATCGGCAGATCTACTCGAAAGATACGACTTTAACCTACCCACATAAAATGTAGGAAGTAGTAGGGGAATGGCTAATGTATACGCATCACCAATGTAATTCATGACCTTGGTTGGTCCAATGGATCTTGGTGAAGGCTTCTTGCTTTCCAAGTTGGACACTGCATGTTCAGGCAGATTTGCCGTGCTAAGTAGTACAAGATCATTGCTTCTTGTTCTTCCTTCCGCTCGTATTTGCGTATTCTTCTTGCAGATCCTGATCCTTTGCAATTGCATCTCGAACAGACCGAACAACGGTATGTCTCTTCGCGATAAAGTCATAGACGGGCTGTTCTTCACGACTTGTCATGTCGTCTATAGGTCTCATTGATTCAAAAATTTCTTTCAACTCTGTGACAGCATTTAGGTCTGATTGTGACTCTACAGCCATAGTTCCTCCCCACTTATGGAAACAGGTACTCTAGGATGTAAGCCCATAATTCACACAAAATGGCGAATGACCTATCGAGACATGCGTGGAGTTTTTCAACGCAACCACTGCAAGCGGAAGACATTATTTTCACTCTTTGAACGACGTAGCGTAACTACTCCTAACTCGATTCATATGTCTGTTTGCCCGTCCATTTCAGGGTGTGCCGCTGTTGACATATATCATTTGGTGCCCAATAGTCCAAACAGTGTGCGCCAGAATTTCGAACGTAAAACTGCTGTCACGGTCAGACACAATATCAACCAGTAGGCCATGCAGGCGGAAAACAACGTCTACAAAGACCTAATATGTCTTCTCAGCAAAGATCTTGTCCGAAACAGGCGCAAGGTGAACTGTCTTGCTGATCCGGTCCACTAGCACGAGAATACCACTGCGTCCATGTGTATCACGTGGAAGTTCGAATATGAAGTCAATACTCACAGACTTCCAGCTGTCAGCTTGCACTGCCAACGACCAAAGTGGAGCCTAAGTGAGATCTGATGATTTTACTCTCTGGCAATTATCACAGGATCTTACATACTTGCGCACCCAATTATACTTGTGAGACCAAAGGTAATCCCGACAAAGACTGAGAACCGTTTTCTCACGTCCAAGACGATCGCCTAAAGGGCTGTTAAGGTATTCATATAAGAGACGATGACGCAAACCTTCGTCATGAAACAACAACACTTGATGTATTTCCATTTTCAACCGCATAGTACAACAATCCATCTGTACTCCAAAACAATGAAAACGCGATCTTGTGCGAGGAGGAAGACCTTGCAGTGCTTTGTCGGAAGGGTCACTGAAATACCTTAACAAGTCCTGACATGTTTCATCAGACTTGTATTCTTTAGCAATTTCTTCGCACACTTTAGTCGTAGCTTGTACGCTGATCGTTTAAACATCTTCGCACTGACGACATGACTCGTGCATGTTTTTGCTCCTGGACTTTAGATCATAGCCCGGACGTTTTGACAACGCATCGGCTACGACGTTCGTCTTGCCTGGCTTGTAGTGAACAACAAAGTTGTACCCCGCAGAGAATGATAACCATCGAGCCATTCTTTGCAATATATGAGGAGTCTTTACTGCCGTACGTAGTGAGGCATAATCTGTATAGATTACAAAGCGCTCTTCTTCAAACACGGAAATTGACCAAAACATGCTTTCTTACTTGAAACTCATTGACATTTGTCATGAGTTAGATAGTTCTGCTCCGCGGGCCGGAGTTGTCGCGAGTGATACGAAACAAGTCGCTCTCGACATTCGACATCGTGTTGCGTTAACACACAATCAATGGCAGAATCACTTGCATCGCGAACCACATGAAAATGCTTATTGTGCTTTGCAATCGCAAAAACAGAAGCTTCCCAAGCTCTTCTTCACTTCGGCAAATACAGCCTGGTTATCTCATATCCATTCCCACTCAACATCTTTTTTAAAAAGCCGTTAAGGGCTGCACCAACGCTGCATAGTTGCGCATGTCTTTGTGCAAATAGTTGGCCAAGTCCAAGCATTGTCTCAGCTGACTCACATTGCTTGAAACGGGCCCTTGGTAGCTTTGACTTTCTCCTAATGTACGCGAACGTCATTCTTGTCCACAAAGCAGCCGAGAACGGGGGATATCAGATGCAAAGAAAATGCTCGTATTCAGATTAGCGGAGATTTTATTCTCTCACATAACCTAGAAGACCTGACGAAGATGATCAAGATAAACATCGACATTTGATTTCTCACCCGTTTTCTTACTATGAACAAATATATCGTCAAAGTAACTCGGTGCAAACTTTCTCAATGGACGAAAAGGGCTCTTGACTATTTTGTTTAAAGTTGCGGTAGCTTCCTTCAAACCTTGAGGAATCGCTAAACATTCTCACAGCATACCACTGAGGTAATAACTGCAGTTAGTGGTGTATCCTTTTCGTGCATTCTTATTGATAGAATTATATTTCAGATCGATTGCACTGAAAATAGTACCGCCAACCATTTCATCAAGAATGATATCCTTGCGTGAAGTAGGAGTCTGGGCAGGTATGGTCGCATCGTCCAGTTTATTGAAAGCGTGAAGAATGCGCCAACCAACTGTGACTTTCCTCACACAGAAGATTGGGCTACAACGCGGAGGAGCAAGAAGACGCTGAATTATAGCCTGGCGAAAAGTGAAATTTCGCAAATATGTGCGATGGTCGAATAAACTTTCGACGATGACGGAAATATTTGATGAGAAGGCACGGAAGGAAAGGTTTGATGAGCAGTCATGGGACACTATGATCTTAAACCCCCGTGCATTTACTTGTCAAGGAATATGCTGATTCAAGGTGTTGGACGAATTATCATCTGACAGAGGCATTCGCCATGATTTTGACATACTTCTTGTACGAAGTATTATATCACACAGCAGTGGCCGTTACAAAGAAAAACAAGTCACTGCAACCGTCGAGTTTTTTGCCCACCAAAAAAGGCTGATTATCTGCGAGAGAGCAAGCATCATGGGCAAGGAAAACATTTTTTTAATGTAACTTGCAGGATTTTCCCAATCTTCACCTGACAGATAATATCGACATCACCTTCTTTGTCGTAGACCACAATATTGAACACTTCTTTAATCAGTACAACCTGTACCTTGATTAGGGGCACGCAAAATACTTGACTCTCGGGAAGAGTCTTTGGCTTTGATCCCACTACTTTTCATACTACCATCAACCATTACTTCCATTAATAGCAAAGGAGACAGTCTTTTTCTAGCGCCTGCCTCACCTCCAAATGGTGTCTTTACTTTCTTCTTCTCGGGCTTGCCCTGTGAGCATGATCGGTCATCGCACACCACAATATCACTTCTAAGCGTAATGAAACAAGATTTGCAGTGGTAACGTCTGTAAGAAAATCATCGAATATGACGGTAACGCTCAATACTTATGGACCCTTGGTATTAGGTTGCCACGCGGTCGATTGACTACAGCTGAAGCGCATGATGGCTTCATCAATGCCATCAAAGCAGACAAGATATTTATTTATTAATGTGATACTCGAAAACTAGAATATTTCAAAAAGAACTTCATTGAGATGACTCTAGTTTTCACGATTGTACTGATCGACTGTACGAATGGGAGCGTCATTGGTAAGCTCATGTTTGACTACAATGAGGCGCGCAAGCAAAGCGGAGCAAAACCAGTTTGCAAGTTGATCGGTAGCTTTTTCGGTGAAAATATTCTCATCTACTTTCCTTTGCTCATGTGGTACCGTTTTCATGGTATGCAGATAGCCAAGACTTACTGCTTTGTCATGGCTGGTTCTTGCAAGGCTTTGCTCCCTTGATGGAGGCTGTAAGAATGCTCGACGAGAGATTGATGTTGAAAAGTCATAGGCAATGATTGTTAAGATGATAAAACTGGTAGGCAACAGTACTTTTGGTCGATCTGTATTGGCCGTTAACATGCAAAAAGGTTAAGTATGAGTCGAGCGACAAAGCTACTAAGATTAAGATCGAACATTTTACGTCCATGGTCTCAGAGAGCTTAACGTTGTGTGTGGGTGGTATCACGATGAAGAAGCTCCGACTCAATAATAAAAATCCAATCAATTTGACTTTTGCTTTCTTTCAGCTTGCTCATTTACAAATGCTTCAGCAAACTATGACTGCATAGATTTCTACTTTGACCGCTCTGACTTTCAGTATCAGAAGATGGACATTGATTATGTTTATATAGCTTTCAGCTATCATCATCCGTTTCAAAAGTATATCATACCAGAGCTACGAACTCACTTTCAGGAGCACAACTTCGATTAATTCAACGCGACGACACAACTGAGGTAGCTTAGATTGATCGCCGTACGCCTGATTTGTTGATGCTTTGACCTTACTATCGAGAAAGTAATATATTAGCTTACCTGATAAGACAAAGGTTTCAGCGAAGGGTATTGAGGGGCAAAGTGACCAAAACAATGGGGGTTTTCAATTCTGATGGGTATGAGCTGTCTAACGGGATCGCATCACGCTACAAGGTATAGAAGAAGGGTTCAGACCATCAAAAGAAGCCAGGTCTAACATCACCTAAACTCACGAAACAGTGCTCAACTAATACTATGATAAACGTCGAGTAGTGATGATGGTACCACGACAGAAGCACTCAATATATTAGCAGTTATTCATTGGGAATTTTTGTCAATATAGATCATGGACGCGCTACCAAAAAGGCTTTTAGGATTGAAAATCTGGTTTTATCAAAGCTCAAGCTCTGAGTCAGAAGGCAAGAGAGCTAAATTATAGAATAAGCTTCGAAATTGTAAAGGATTGGTATGAGAGTCAGACCGATATTCAACGATTTTAGAAGCAAAATGGGAGATTTAGTGGCTTCAAAACAGCTTTGCATAAATCCGACTCGTGGCGAATTGATCATGCGTTTTGGGAGAAACGGCCGATTATAATTGCTATCAGCATCAACTTAAGACTGGGGTACGCATAGCTCTTACGTGACAAGACGGCAGCGACTGAGTTAGCAGCGCTTAAAGCGTTCCTTCGTCTTCACAAAGCTAAATTAAAAACGAGTGATAATGGAAGCGAGTTCATGAGCTCACAGGATATTTTCGAACTAAGAAAAAAATGGGCAGTATATCAATGAACGCGGTGATCACAGAAAAAGGAAAAAAACGAACATTTCAAGAGGACCTCAAATAAGAGCTTAACTAAAATGCCCCCTAAAAGAATTGCACAAAAGCTAACCACCGATAGGACCGGAAACTACAATACCACGTTCCATTATTCGATCGATGTGACCCCAAAAAGCCAAGTAATGGATGTAGTTCTGAGTCATGATCAGGTGGAAGCCGATAGAATCGAGACTGAGTTTGACGTTGGGTCAAGTGTATCTTATCATCCTAAAAGCTGGTACTTGATAGAGAAGCCACTCCATGGAGTAGAAATAGTTTTCAAATTTGTTGGAATCGATGGCTATAGAGTTCAAGGCTCCAAACGCTCTTAAAATGGTTAGAACAGAGATCACAGATTCTGTTGTTAATCGTGGCGACATTCATGAGGCGATGAAGAGCTTGACTTACAAAACGATACGCTCTGGAAAGTACAATAATCCGGTGAGATGGAATGGCGATGAAACTGACTCATGGGAGCCACAAGAAAATCAGCGACTAGCTAACAAAACAGGAGATCTCCACTTGGAGAGGAGTATTGGGAATTTAAAAAGAGTTGACCTACTTTCACCCCGCGCCTCAAAAAATGGAGTCACAAGTAGCGTGTAAATAAATTTGATGGAGAAATCCTCTGTTCCTCTTTTGACTCAAGTATATAAGCTCGAATATTTTTTTGAGATTTTTTGGACAATCTAACTATATACATGGCAATAAGACAGTAATGTGTACAAGTTGTGAAGGCAAAGAACAAGAGCTTGTAAAGATTAGACGTAAACTTTAAGTTGAAAAAAGGAGGTGAGTCGAATTAAGCATGAGCTGCTGAAACTTGTTGCAGTCGTGAATTTCTGCAAGACAGTAAAAATTTGTAAGTTTTGGCATGAGTCGAATGCAATGCTTGTAGTTCCATTCTATCACATTAAGAAAAGCTTTCTAAAATGTTTTATGAGCAAAATCGTATCTGTCACTCGTATCTACCATTTTGCTCGTGCCGAGCAAAAAAGTATTCAAGGCAACTTATCTCTTTTTTATGATTGCTTTTTCTATATCAAAGCAATCATAAAAAAGAGATAAGTTGCCTTAAATACTTTTTTGATATTCCAAAATTTAACATCGCTCGCTCAGAGAGCAAAATCGGCAGGAGATTGTTGAAAGAGCTCAGCGCTGCGTTCGACAGGTTGAAGCCAAGCGAGTGATCTAAGAAGGTGCTTCGCCGGGAAGTGATATCACGAAAGGGATTACTATAGTCCTTATAAAATCAACCGAATCAACTCAGACCGCTTTATTTAAGTCTGCTCATTCATTCAAAAACACTGACTGATGGATACACTCAAATAAATCGTGGTGTGTCAGCTCCAAAAGCTCGGCGTGTGATGATCAATATTGGAGTAGATAGCGGCGTGCACATGATGAATAGCTAAAAAATACCGATCCTGTTAACAGAAACTATTAGGCGATACCTCAAATTTTTGATGTTGGTATCGATAATTCCCAGCAAAAAGATGATGTTGAAATTGATGAAACACCAAGAATGTTGCAAACATGTAGAACCTGAAAACCGAAGATCAATTAGAAGCGCGATGACGGGTTGAAAATTTGTTTAGCGTCAATTCGAAATGGGTAGCACTTCGAATTAAGCCACTTTAGTGTAAAAGTGGTCAGGATGACATTAGATATTTTCTTTATGAAATAGGATCATTGGTTGCTGCCAAAGCGGATAGATAGAGCATGGCTTATCAATCGATTGACTGGGTGCCTACAGAGAAGAAGATTAGGAACATCTGGTATGATGACGAAAGTAAATCAATCGATCAGAATATGAGACTTGGTGACACACTTCATCACGCTTCACTGACGCGAAAACGAAAATCTGCCGATTCCTGTGAAGGTGATTATACAGATCGTACAAGCAACATCTTAAAGATAGTTTCCACTTTGATAAATCGACTCCAACCTCATTAGATCAAGCTGGAAGTAAAAGTTTAATTTTATAAATAGGGCACTGCTCGAGTTGATTGGTTTGAAAAATGAAACTATTCCTATCCTCAAGATCATGGATACAGTGTCTTAGATATGATAAAACTGGATATCTTTAAGGTGATGGTTCATTTATTAGCGTACTTGAAATCGATCGTGGGAAAGTCTACCTCGCGATTACTAAAAGGTTGATTGGAGATTAACATTTTCAAATGTTAATTTAGAGAATGATCGAGACGATGTCGATCTAAAAGACACCGCGAAACTTGCAATTACCTTTAAATTACCCAAAGGTGAGGCGCGTCTTGGAGTTAAGTTTGGAATGGATGAAGATAAAAATACTTCTCTAAGCATTGCTGGTAACGCTGCAAAAAAAGTCTCATTGACTACTACAGCAAAATAATTTCTGAGGGCGTTCAAATTCCTTTTAGCCTGAAACTAATACTAGAGTTCAAAAGTGGTAGAATAGCTAATCAAATTTACTGCTTTAGAAAGCCTACCGCTGTAAAACCATTCTACATAAAATACACGAACACAAAGCGGTTTGAGAAGGCTTTCAGCGATTTTCCAGAAAATAATAAGATGAACGGAGTCTATAATAGCCTAGGAAGGTCAGACAGTCAAAAATTGTTATTAAATACCGTTTAAGGCTTTGTAAGGCTGTGGGAATACCTATAAGATTTAGGAGTGCCGTTAAAATGCGTATGATGTAACCGTTGAAAAAAGTAGACAGTATGCAGAGGAATTGAAGATAAGATACAATATTTGTGCATCTTGCGACGGGGATACCGATAGAAGTATCGAAGGTAACGTTACATATAAAATTTCAATTTGCGAGTTTTGACAGCGTGAAACGCTGTCTGTTTCTGAATCTGTTTTTGGGATATAATTTTGTCCACGAAGACGCACGAGGTTTGGGTTGTCTGGAGGTGTGACGCAATTCTCTCATTATCAATCTTTGGCAAGTCATATATCCAATACTGCCGGGAAGCAGAAGCGCTTGTGGCGTGAGCATGAAGCTGCAATACCCTCCATGCAGAATATGGGATTGCTCAAAATTGATAGAAGTAGCATTATTTGATGTTTCAAGCAGCGATCAGAAGACAGAAGCGACAGTGAGTCGAGATGTCAGGTCGAGTCGGAGAAGAGCGAGTGTATACCGCGGCTGACCAGCTCCATGCACAGGTACTGTGCTTACAATACCAATATGGTGTTTCCTTACCAATTCCATTACAACGAAATGTCAAATGGTGTCAAGATGTATTAAGAGGCGGTTATAAGGCTGTGAAAGAAAGTCTATCACGTGCATCGACGTTGGCGCGATGATCCCCAAATCGGCTACTCCATGACGTCTGTACTGCTAAAGCCTTTGTGACAAATTGCGCATTACTTAAAGTTTAGACCAAGTGATTTAAAT